AAAAAAAAAAAAAAAAGAACAAGCTAGTTCTGAAATCACACCAAATCACAACATACATGTGAAGCATTTTAAAATTTTGTGGGATATCATTAGATGAACAAATAAACATCATATATACTAAGAAATTTCCCCAGCTCTTCAAGAAATATGTAATTCTCAATTGATACATTAAAAAAAAAAGGAATTCAGGAAAGAAGCTCTTAGATGAATTATTAAAATGGCAATTCCATTACTTGCTCTCTAATACCAGAAAACATGCTGAAACCCCATGAAACTGCTGTTTTTATAGGTGAAAAATGAATACCAGTACTTTCATTTTGTTCAGTCTAATAATATAGGCTTTAGCAATAAAGGTAAAATGAATTTTTTATAACCTGACCTGAATGTTAGGCTTCTCTATATTGCAAGTTCTCCTAATCAAGCTAACAAGGAAAAATCAGAAGAAAAAAGGAAAAAGGCATAACTCTGCTGTAGATCAGTACCAGATATTTGGGACCCACTGTGAGCTCAATCACTGACAGTACTAAGTTGGGCAATATGTAACCTCTTTACATGTTGTTTCCTTTCTCTATCATGTATGAAATCAATAGTTTTCAATCTTTTTTGGGAAATTCAAATAATAAAGCAAACAAAAGTTAAGCTGAAAGAAAAGGTGAGGGGCCCACAGCTTTTTATGCTTATCTTCCTGGTGAGAGATTTGACACTACAGCCTGAAAACTACTCCTTTATATGGTCCCATCCAGTCCCCAATACCAATGATCTCAGAAGTCACAGAATCAGATCTAGAATTTCGGGCTCTTTCATTTTTCAAAAATTAAAGTGAGTGACTTTATTATTTATGGGAAAATTTAAAATGAATTACTTTGAAGATATTAAAAAGTAATTTTACCTGTTTGCAACTGTATTCTTAGACGGAACACCATCAAAAACGATGACGCGATCCGCTAGATAGGTGGCCATGATGAAGTCATGTTCCACAACAAAGGCTGTCTTTTTTGCATGGAGTATGAAACTAAAACACAATGATTTTGAAATCTTATAGCTTTATATCATAAAACATTATGGTGTTATATTAAGCATACTTGTAGGACGGTACACATAACCAAAATACTGCTATGAACAAGATACTTACCGTTTGACAACTCGAGCTGCCATTAGTCTTTGCTCAGAATCCAAATATGCGGATGGTTCATCAATTAAATAGACATCAGCAGGTTTGCCCAAACAAAGGGCTAAAGCTACTCGCTGTAGTTCACCACCAGATAATGTCTGCACCTAATTGGAGGAGTTTAGCAAACCATGTAAAGGCTTCCAAAATTCAAAATAAAAAAATCTAAAAATTATGTTAAAGTACCTCTTGATCGATAATGTTTTCAATTTGCAGAGGCTTCATTACATCAGTCACAAACTGTGGATGAGTATAAGCATCTCTTATTTTTTCATGTAGTAACTGGCGAACACTTCCCTGTTTTTAATAAAAAAAAAATTATTTAAATGATAAAATTTCACTACAGAACTCTTCTATTTATGAATCTCGACAAAGTTAAGCTTCAGAGTAAAAGCGTATCGATTTGCCACTAACAGATATCAATGTGTATCCACCATTTATGACATGTTTTGAGATTTTCTATTCAAAACCTATCATGTCCAACAAGTAAAAATGATTTTTTTTGTCTGAGACAAGGTCTTGCTCCATTGCTCAGGTGTGCAGTGGCATGATCACAGCTCACTGCAGCCTCAAACTCCCAAGCTCAAGTGATCCTCCCACCTCAGCCTCCAGAGGATTTGGAACTACAGGCATGCACCGCCATGCTGCAATAATTTTTAAGTTTTTGTAGAGGTGGGATCTCACTATTTCACCAGGCTTGTCTTAAACTCTTGGGCTCAAGTGACCCTCCTGCCTCAGCCTCCCAAAGTGCTGGAATTAAAATATGTGAGATGCCATGCCCAGCCTACAACAATAATCTTTTTTTTTTTTTTTTTTCACTCCACAGCCCCTGCAACCATAATCTTAAAACTAGAAAGTAATAAGCAAATGATGAATGTTTCAGGGGAAAAATCATTTGAGAGTAAAAATTCCAAAAGCCAAAGTGGGTATCAAGTAACCTTAGGCCATCAGTAAGAGAGAACATAAAATGCACGATAATGTGCTAGGGATGAATCCTAAGATGGCTTCTCCTTGCTGTTTCAGGGTAAGGCTAAATTTTAGAATTTAAAGCTAAGCCTATAGAGTATCAATGATAAAACTTTTATGGTAAGGTAAGCCAAGTAGACAAAACATAAATTGAATGTTGAGGTACTGAATGTAGATATTGTAGTTAAGGAGTTCTTACGATACCTACAGAAATCAAAGGAGGTTAACTTTAATGTTTTCAAGGTTTATCCATACTGTAGCATTTGTGAGTATTTCTTTTTATGGCGGAATAACTTTAAAAACTTATAAGTATACAATACTGTGTTTATCCATGCATCACCTGATGGGACATTTGGGTTGTTTCCACCTTTTGGCTATCACAAATAATGTTGCTATAATCACTTTGTGTGGAAATTTTTGTGTTGAGATAGGAGTGGAAGTGCTGGTTCTTATGGCAACTCTATGTCTAATTGTTTATACAACTGTCTGACTGTTTTTTTGAAATGGCTCTACCATTTTACCTTACCACCAGCAATGTACAAAGTTCCAATATCTTCACATCCTCACCAATACTAGTCATTGTTTTTTTGATTGAGTCATTTGAGTGGGGATAATGTGGTGTCTCACTGTGTTTTTTTTGAATTACAGTTCCCTAATGATTAGTGGTAGTGAACATCTTTTCATTCGTTTATTGGACCTTTGTATATCTTCTTTGGAAAAATGTCCTTTTCCTGGGAAAAGACATTTGCTCATTTTTAATTATAACAGTCCTTTCTTTATCTATGCTGGATACAAGTCCCTTATTGGATATATGATGTGCAACGGTTTCTCCCATCTTATGGGTAGTCTTTTCACTTTCTTGCTGGTGTCATTTTGCAGCACAAAATACATTACCATTTTAAAAGATTTATTTTGCATAAAGATGACAAATATCTTTAATGCATTTTCTTAGCAATGGATATGTATCAAGGACTGGACTCTTAATCCCTTTGTTAGCAACTACCAATAAAATTGTATAGAATCTAATTTGGAGAAAATTTTAACATAGTGAAAGACGAAAGCTATAGGCATATATACAAAATTTTCTTTAGTAACCATATTAAAATAATAACTCACAGTTGATTTGGGACTAATTTTCTGTGGCTTATAACTGACATTTAGAACTGGCACTTCTCCTGCAAAATAATGAAATACGTAAGACACTAAAAACTGCCCAGATCTTTAAAGTTTACTGTGTAGAAAAGAGTAAAAGATTCAACAATTACAACTGTACCTCCTTCATCAGGTTTAAGTCTTCCTGCAAGCATTCTGATAAATGTCGTTTTACCCGTTCCTGGCAACACAACATATGACAATTTGACCTGAAAGATGCTTGACATTTAGAGTAAATCACTATGTCCTACTTGGTTTTAACTGAGAAATTTGTTTTAAAAATATACACTGACATTATTGAATTCTGAAGGTTATATAGAACAATACTTAGTCTTTTGTGATTCACCTCTGAAGTGTCATTCTAGAGAAATAAAGACTAGTCAAAGCTTATAATGACCATTTTAATAAATGGTATATCTACAAAGTTTAAATCCTGCAATAGTTTGAAAAGATTTATTTAGCTAAATTATCAAGGCACACAATTTATTAAAATAGTACAGACTGATTTATGAAAGATAACAAATTGTAAAGTTTGTTTATATAAAATATTTAAATTGCAACTCAATTCAAAATTCCCATTATCTAAAGACTAATACATTGTAACAATATTTATACAAAATTTATCTTCTATAGTTTTGTAAGCTGTAAGATTACAATTCATAGTATTTAAATCATGAAGGCAATATAACATATTTAGTAGTCAAATTCATCCTAGCTGCTATACTTATGACAATTTATTATTAAATATATGCTGGTAATATAATTATTTACAAAGGCAGGCCGCCCTGAATTTAAAATAAGAAATGTTCCACATTGAAGTGTATGAGAAAAAATTTTTTAAAGCTAGATTGTTTCTGAATCGCCATTTATCCTTTCTTTCTTAGCCAATAAATAAGATTAATAATTGCCATTAATTTACATGTAAAAAACCAGCCGAAAAAGAACACCTTATTTTCACTAGAGGTTATACAACAAAGTAAGAAATATTAACTTGATTGAATTACAGTGAAACTCAATTACACAATGCCAAAAAAATGTAGAGGTACACTGAGAAATGTACAGGTTTAAATAAAACTCAGCTTCTAGCCCTATAACATGATTCAAAATTTTCCACAAAATAGTTAAAACTAATTTACCAGATAAACAAAAGACTTTTACTTATCACATAAGAGAAAAACTTACCATTTTCCCCCAGCATGACCATGATTTCAGAATCTGTAAACTCTCCAGCTACAATTGCTAGTTCAAACTCTCCCATTTTTTTCTTCATTCCTGGATATTTATACATACACATCTTTTTAACTTCTTCTTCATTTGCTGTCTCAGCCACTTTAAAAACAAGTGATGCATCTCTGAATCTCAAGTTTTCTGTTGGAACATAGCCATCCAAAAAAATGTTTATGCCTGTTGGGAAGAAAATTATCAAGAGGAAGAAATCATTAGAGCCAAAATCCTAAGGTCTCCTGGGAACAATCTATAGACTGTATATTTTAAATTTCTGCGGATTTTTGCTAACATGTTGGTCTGCATATAAAGAAGTAACTTTTAAAAAATCTATTATGTTTAAATAATTCTTGAATATATATGCATGTCCCCCCAACCACATGAAGTACATCTTCTCATTATCCTATTTTTTCCATCAGGTTTTATGCAGAATAGAGCACATGATGTCCTTTTTGTTTTATTTTTAAGGCAAAAATGACAAATATGTAATATTTTTAAATGACAAATATATGTAATATATTTTCAGACTGACACAATATTGATGTAAAAGTTTGGAGGATAAATTTTTAAATATACAATTTGTTATGAATATTCAACTTCACATGAGAGATAAGCACACATTTTGAGGTTATAGTTTACTGAATTTTTTTTTCAAATTAATCTTGCAATTTCATATGAAATTGAATATGAGCTAACTTTAGCTACCATTTTTTAATGGCTTCACTGTATAAAGATAACCACCATTATCTGAACAGATTTAGTAACAAACCAACATTGTATACAAGAAACCCTCAGTAATAAAATTTTAAGATCTACAATTGCAGACACACTGAAATGAAAAGTATATTTGAGAAGCAACAAATGATCCATATTTTAGTGTTTCCTATATTTACGTGAAGGAAGAGAAATTTGAAATTTGGTAGTTCTTGATGTTATTCATTTTATTTGGAATTGGGAGACACATCATGCAGCCTGTATCCTCAGCCTAGAACATAGGTGTTCAATACATCTTGCTGACAGAACAAATGAACAGATTACATTTATTTTGCCAATATCAGCATGTTTTTTCATCTTAAACTATCTAAAACATATAAAGTTAAAAAATTAAACTAAAAAATTACGTAAAAGCATAAACTCAAAGGAGCCTTAGCAGCCACTTAGTCCAAATACCTAACTTCTTATTTTGGAAAATAAAGCCTCAAAGAACTAAGTGATTTAGTTTTTAAAAAACACAGCAAGTCAGTCTTGTCAATTCAAAAATGATTTCAAACTATAATCACCTTTACAGTTTATAGAAAGCTTTTAAGCATGCTACACTGATTTCAGTATATTAAAGGAACACAGAAAAGTTCCTAAGTTGTTTTATCAGATGAAGCACATTAAAAACCTTACCGGGTACCATTTATTGAATGGCATAGCCTTTAGACATGACATTTATAACTGGAGTTGTGAAGAATGACTGTCAACTACCCATAATCTTTATCAACTTGATTCAAAGACTACCATAAGGTATAGCATAAGGTATTCAATACATATTTATTAATTGATAAGAATAAAACATTAATAAATTCATTCTCATAACATCCCTTAAGACTACTGGCAAAAAATAACTAGGTAACTGCAAATTTTTCTGTAAAGTATGCATCCATCTCAAATGTGTAAGTAGATAAGTATAACAATTTCTTCCCCACATCTTAATATTTATGTACTTTTAATAATTATAAAAACTCCCATCATCTTTTTATGAAAAGCATTATAATGCAAAATAACTTTATTTTTCCAAAAGAGTTTTTAGGTATAAAAAAGATTCCTCCAAGATTACAAAAAAAAAAAAAGAAAAAAGAAACCAAGAAACCTGCCACCACTTAGGGAACTACAGGCTACATGAATTTTTCTTCTAGGATATGGTATTTTTTTCCTGAGTAAATAGCCCTTTTAGTGTTCTGAATTGTCAGTTAAGACAGCTGGAGAGAAAAAATATAAAGTAAAACACAAGGAAGCAGTAAAAGGAAAACAGGGAAGAAAAAAAGGAAAAAGGTATGAAAGGTGGAGAATATATTGGTAGTTGTTTTAGGAGCCGCTTAGTGGTGGGCTAGTTTCTACTTTTGCTTAAATTGCACAGGTAATGAGGAGACATGGAAGGGAGATGCCCCAGAATCTCATTTTCTTGAAAGAACAAAGACTAAATGAAAATTTCAGTATACTTCCTAAACTATCTTCTTAGGCTTTTAGATAGTCTTAGTTCCAAAAACATAGGATACACATTACGGATAAATTTTAAACAAGATGAACACTCAAAGCATTTTAAGATGTCATGACTGATATTGGCCTGTCAAAGATAATTTGAAAATGACAAATTCTACAGTAATACTGCAGAAGCCAAACTACAGAAGACTTTTACTGTAGCCTCCTAACCACCAACAAAAGTAACATTGCATTTCTACCCACCCCCCAGGAGAAAATTCTTCAAAATGAAAATATATTTTGCATAACAACTAACATATATAACTTTATACATTCTGCTCAGTGATTAAATGCCAAGAAACTAGAGTTTTGGATGACATTAGAGCAATGTAAAACTACTTAATATCAATAATGTAGTTTATGAGCATTAGTATAGAAGAAAATACAGCATATGTGGAAAAAAAAGTTTTTCAAGTTACCTTCTCTTACACTAAAAGGCATAGTGACAACTCCATAGGCGCTTGGTACACCATATAAACAGCAGATGAAGTCGGAGAGATAGTCTAAAACACTTAGATCATGTTCTACCACAATGATATATCTGAAAATCAAAAGATTTTTATTTTTAAATTGAACATAACATATAAAATTAGTTAAAACTCTTTTGTAACTATTTTTAATGCAGTTGTAAATTTCAGAAAAATAGATTTATCTAATAAAAATTAAGCATAAAGACATATGAAGCAAAAGCCATAAAACATTTTCTTTAGTAAGGCTCATTATTAATGCTCATATTTAAAAATGTTTTCCTGAACTAAAAGGAAGGAAAAAAACAGCCAATTTAAAAGTTTATTGATATATGAATTAAATGCACTTTGCTAATAAAGAATGTATTTTGAAATAAGTGTTATAAAATAAAAACAATTATAACAGATTTAATTCAGATGTAGCCTAAACTGTTTGAGTATTATGCTACTCAATTTATGTATTAAGCCTGCATCTGTCCAGTCCCATGCTAGCTATAGTAGGGGAGGGATGCACAAAGATCTTGAGACATTTTGATTTAGCTGGGGAAGACAAGAAATGGGTATGAAATGGCAACAAAAAAGATTACATAGCAAAATATACCCCACAGATAATTACATCAGTGAACACCAGACAGAAAATGGTTAGTGGGTACTGGAGCACTTTATGAATGAGAATGGGATATGGTTTGAAGTGATACAGTATTGGCTGGAATAGAAGCTATTAACCAAGTAACAGTCATGAAGTTTTTACATAGTACTTTATTGCCATTCCAACATAATTCAACATGTTAAAAAAAGTCCTCAGATATCTCAAATGTCAACTTGATATATCAGCTTCCTACACACATAAAAATTCTCCATATCTGTATTAATGGAATTATCATTCCCTCAAAAATGACATTTTATTTCCACTGATATTTTGTTTAAACTGTTAAAGTCTATGCATTCCTTAACAATGTCTTACGTTTCAGTTTCATCCTTTTCCTTCTTTGCTTAAATTCTAGGTCAATCCCTCAAATTTCTTTCGTATCTTATTTTCTTTAGGTCTCCTGATGTGGGTCTCAATTCCAAATCAAATTAGTAATTTTCATTGATTAGACTTTCAACACTTTCTAAAACTTTAGCTACTGTCTTTCTATTGCTTAACTAATACACAGGAAACACTGAAAAATGCATCTTTTTTTCCTCAGATAAACCACTTCTCTACTTCTCTGTGTCTAAGAACTAAATAGTTTCCTGCCTATACCTTTACCTGCTAAAATTCCACTTAACCCTTTAAGGTCCATCTCAAATCCCATTTGTTATGGAAATACTTTTCCTAATATGTAAATGAGCTTCCCCCCTCATTCTTTAATACTGGTAACAAGTATTTGGACTGACATTTAGATTTTATTTTTGATTACTGCTATAATTTCTTCATAAACACCTTAATGGAGACTCTTAATACATTTTAGCACCTCCACGATCTTTAGTCTTACACTATGTACTAAACAGATACCTAATAAGGTTGTTGAAGGACAAAATGAAGAATATGAACTGAATTAATTGGCAATGAGGAAGATGGTCGGTTCTGAAATAGCACTGTTCAGAACTCTCTACAATTATTAAAACGTTCTGTCGCTACGTTGTCGCATATAGTGGCTACTAGCTATAAGTTGAATGTAACTAGTTTAATGAAATAAAATTTTAATTTCAATTAAAATTTAAATGAGGATGTATGTCTATGGCTACACCACAATTCTAGAATAGGGGAATGAAATGAGAAAACATTTCAGAAGGAGTAATCTGGCAAAAAAAAAAAAAAAAAAAAAAAAAAAAAAAAAAAAAAAAAAAAAGAAAAGAAAAGAAAAGAAAGGAAAAGAACAGAACAGCAGGTCTAAGATGAAAAGGGAAAACTAAGAGGAAATGTTTTCTACCACAATGGTGGTAGTGTCAATAAAAATGGCAAACCACCCAGGTGAGCTGGTGATATTCATCTTGCATCGGTGTCTTTGTTGGCATTAATCCATTACATGGAATACTACTCTACTCTTAAAATCCTATGTGTCCTTAAAGATCCAGGTGAGGAAGCATTATATTATGTAGTGGCTTTTAATTTGCTTTGAAAAGAAGAAAAAAAAAAAGGTCAAACTCCCTGCCCCTCACTCCGACCTTCAAATGGAGTTTATGGAGACAAAAGTCCAAAATATAAAAATGATTTAGGTCAGCCATTCTGTTTTCCGAAAAGTTGAGAAGATCTGTAGCACAGGAAGAAATCTATGTTGTAAAAATATGCATACCCCACAGTTAATATGGGGCTACCTCTTAGTCTTCAATCTTACCGATAATGTTTTGAAGTCAAACTCTATAAAACTTCTTAAATTTCTATTCTTTCGTCCAATGCATCCTCTATTATTCATTGTTTATCCAAGGATATGATGTCAAAAAGCTTTTTATGGAATCAAAGACTGAATGTATGCCTTGACACAGAATTTCAGAATTGAGCTATACTTCCTATGACTCTTTATCATCAATCTATCAATACATAGAGATCTTAACCTTATACCTATAAATAAGACCAGCCCATTTGTGAAATGTCTTATCTTCTCTATGTTGTCATTCCAATCTCTCTTAACATGTTATCCCTATTACAATTAAGGTTATTTTCCTCTTTCTTATAATATGGGAAAGTCTTGGGTAGTATTACTTTTCCTTACTAGTTTTTTTTTTTTCCTGAGGTACATCTACATTTATTCATTTCACTTTCCTATTTTAACTATATAAAATAGCTACTGATGTTTTAATTTTAAATTTATTCACTATAAGTGGGTATAAGTACCTGATGCCTTGTCTTCTAGTGATATGTCTAAACAGATACACACTGAAATACTGACTGTAAACTGGTATTTCCTTTTAGTTTTCCTTTTGATTATTATTAGGACATTATTTGAAATCTTTAAAGTTATATGTGAAGGTAAATATTATCTATGACTTCCATTTTAGTATAATAAGGGAGTATAAAAATACTTTTTATCAGGCCACCATTCAAGTCCGGGAAATACAGAGAACACCACAAAGATATTCCTCAAGAAGAGCAACCCCAAGGCACATAATCATCAGATTCACCAGGGTTGAAATGAAGGAAAAATTGCCAAGGGCAGGCAGAGAGAAAGGTCGGGTTACCCACAAAGGGAAGCCCATCAGACTCACAGCGGATATCTCGGCAGAAACCCTACAAGCCAGAAGAGAGTGGGGGCCAATACTCAACATCCTTAAAGAAAAGAACTTTCAACCTAGAATTTCATATCCAGTCAAATTAAGCTTCTTAAGTGAAGGAGAAGGAAAATCCTTTGTGGGCAAGCAATTGCTGAGAGATTTTGTCACCACCAGGCCTGCCTTACAAGAGCTCCTGAAAGAAGCACTAAACAAGGAAAGGAACAACCAGTACCAGCCACTCCAAAAACATATCAAATGGTAAAGACCATTGACACAATGAAAAAAATGTGTCAACTAATAGGAAAAACATCCAGCTAGCATCAAAATGGCAGGATCAAATTCACACATAACAATATTACCCTTAAATGTAAATGGGCTAAATGCCCCAATCAAACAACACAGACTGGCAAATTGGATAAAAAGTCAAGACCCACTGGTGTGCTGTATTCAGGAAACCCATCTCACGTGCAAGGACACACATAGGCTCAAAATAAAGGGCAGGAGGGAGATTCATCAAGCAAACGGAGAGCAAAAAAAGCAGGGGTTGCAATCCTAGTCTCTGATAAAATGGACTTCAAACCAACAAAGATCAAAAGAGACAAGGAAGGGCATTACATAATGGTAAAAGGATCAATCCATCAAGAAGAGCTAATGATACTAAATATATACGCACCCAATACAGGAGCACCCAGGTACATAAAGCAAGTTCTTAATGACCTACAAAGAGACTTAGACTCCCACACAATAACAGTAGGAGACTTTAACACTCCACTGTCAATATCAGACAGATCAATGAGACAGAAAATTAACAAGGATATCCAGGAATTGAACTCAGATCTGGACCAAGCAGACCTAACAGACATCTAAAGAAAACTCCACCCCAAATCCACAGAATACACATTTTTCTCAGCACCGCATCGTACCTACTCTAAAACTGACCACATAATTGGAAGTAAATCACCTCTCAGCAAATGCAAAAGAACGGAAATCATAACAGTCTCTCAGACCACAGGGCAATCAAATTAGAACTCAGAATTCAGAAACTAATTCAAAACCGCACAGCTTCATAGAAACTGAACAACCGGCTCCTGAACGTCAAATCGATAAACAATGAAATGAAGGCAGAAAAAAAGATGTTCTTTGAACTCAACGAGAACGAAGACACAACGTACCACAATCTCTGAGACACATTTGAAGTAATGTCTAGAGGGAAATTTATATCAATAAATGCCCACATGAGAAGTGTGGAAAGATCTAAAATTGACACCCTATCATCAAAATTGAAAGAGCTAGAGGAGCAAGATGAAAAAAACTAAAAAGCTAGCAGAAGACAAGAAATAACTAAGATCAGAGCAGAACTGAAGGAGATGGAGACACAAAAAATCCTTCAAAAAAAAAAAATAAATCCGGGAGCTGTTTTTTCTGAAAAGATCAACGAAATAGACCACTAGCCAGATTAACAAAAAGAAAAGAGAGAAGAATCAAATAGATGCAATGAAAAATGATAAAGGGGATATCACCACTGATTCCACAGAAATACGAACTACAGTCAGAGATTACTACAAACAACTCTATGCACATAAACCAGTAAAGCTGGAAGAAATGGAAACATTCCTGGACACTTGCACCCTAGTAAACCTAAACCAGGAAGAAGCTGAAACCTTGAATGGACCAATAATAAGGGCATCAATAAAATACTGGCAAACTGATTGCAACAGTACATCAAAAAGCTTATGATCTAGTAGGCTTCATCCTGGGGATGCAAGGCTGGTTCAACATACACAAGTCTATAAATGTAATCCACCACATAAACAGAACCAAAGACAAGACCACATGATTATCTTAACAGATGCAGAGAAGGCCTTCGACAAAATTCAACAGCACTTTATGCTAAAAACTCTCAATAAACTAGGTATCGAAGGAACATATCTCAAAACAATAGAAGCTATTTCTGACAAACCTACAGCCAATATCATACTGAATGGGCAAAAACTGGAAGCATTCCCTTTGAAATTGGGCACTAGATAAGGATGCCCTCTCTCACTTACTCCTATTCAACAGAGTATTGGAAGTTCCAGCCAGAGCAATTAGGCAAGAAAAAAAAAGGGTATTCAACTAGGAAAACAGGAAGTCAAATTGTCTCTATTTGCGATGACATCATGATTGTATATCTAGAAGACCCTACTGTCTCAGCCCCAAATCTCCTGAAACTGATAAGCAACTTCAGCAAAGTCTCAGGATACAAAATCAATGTGCAGAAATCACAAGCATTTCTATACACCGATAACAGACTAACAAAGAGCCAAATCATGAGCAAACTATCATTTACAATTGCTACAAAGAGAATAAAATACCTGGGTATACAACTAACAAAGGATGTAAATGACCTCTTCAAGGAGAACTACAAACCACTGCTCAAGGAAATAAGAGAGAACACAAACAGATGGAGAATATTCCATGCTCACGGTTAGGACGAATCAATATCATGAAAATGGCCATACTGCCCAAAGTAATTTATAGATTCAACGCTATCCCCATCAAGCTACCAATGACCTTCTTCATGGAACTGGAAAAAGCCACCTTAAACTTGTGAAGGAACCAAAAGAGAGCCCACATAGCCAAGACAACTCTAAGCAAAAAGAACAAAGCTGGAGGCATCACACTACCAGACTTCAAACTATACTACAAGGCTACAGTAATCAAA